AGCAGCTTTTATTTTAGTCAAGGTTTGTTAAGACAACATCCAGTAAGTCACCTATGGCAGCCTTATGTACTTAACTGCATGAACTGCCCCCTGCCTGAACCCAGGCCTCAGGAGGAGATTAGTGGGTTCTAAATGAAAACTAAGATTAGCTATAATATGTCTTAATCTTCCAATTAATCCCCTTTTCCAGCAGAAAGTGTCTCTGCATGACTTGAACTACTCATACTTCAGAAGAACTTAATTTCTTTACAGGATGTTAAAATACCTGTTTGGAAAACAGCATTTTTTTTAAGTTGGTTTCCTGTTCAGTAATGAAATGAGTTTCTCCTTTGTTCAGGTGAGGGGGGAGTTCTAAATCACAACATAGGGAGGCAGTGCTACTTCAGAAGAATGTCTTAATCTTAGAAACCTGTGCATAACTGTCCAAAGAATCTCTGAAGCCATGCTGCAGTCATAACTGCCATAACGCTCAGGGCTGGGAAGCTATTCTGCTCTACAAATAGCATCTTCTGGGAGCTGCAGTAGAACCTATCTGATTAACTTAGATACAGGCACGGCTCCCACGTCAGCCACACACAGTGCTTTCACTGTCCCTTGAACAGCTTCACCACTGACAGCTGGACTCCAAGTCGATCCTGGCACGTTGTAGTTTCAGTCCAAGGCACTAAAATGCTATGCAACACCAAATGGCTTCTTCCCATATCCAGTCATAATTCCTATACAGTAAGCGTACCAGCTGTATCTCGTCCAAACGTTATCCACGTAACTATCTGGTGGTTAGAGTTTACCTAGGGCTTTTTACAGTTTTGTTTTTCCTTTGAATAAATAGCTGATGTGTCCTGTGTACAATGCAGGACCGGACGTGTTCCTTTCTCTTTCGGGTGTGAAATATAAATCATGTTTTTATGATTTTTGTAAATCTTTACTCTTTTTACACCTTGTTTTTGTAAGCTGAAGTTTCTTATTAAAAAACAAAATTCCAGTGACTTATGTCGTTATTCCCCGCACTTTAATATTTAATTGAACATCGAGACGGCAGTACAGAAGAAAATTCCACGCGCAATGGCTTCACATTGATGAGGAAACTCTTCCCATTGTACCTTGCAGGCTCAATTGAACGTAAATCCTCCCTCTCATGCTCAAAAGCCTTTCCGCCCCTCGTCATCGTTCCAAGCGCAACAGCTTTGAAGTGTGAGTAGCAGCTCTATGGCAGACGAGGGTCGATGATACCCACGAGGGTACTGGCTAAACGCCTCTCTTCTGGTCGTCGTTAACGGGGAGGGCAGGCTCTTCTGCCTCAGAGGAGCGTTTCTTTCCTGGGTCTGCATTTAGAGAGAGAGGCAATATCGTTTCTAGCCTAGTCCATTAAATTAGCACGCGGCAGCTTAAACTGGCACGAATTAGATAATTTTAATCTTGCATTCCCCTGGCGCTAGGGCGGGCGCAGGTTTAAGCCCCAGTCGGGGCTGGGGCCGGGCTCACCGCTGCCGCTAGGCGCCGGGCTGGGGCGCCATGAGGTCGATGTCCGTGAGGTTTCGGGCCACCCACACGCCGGCGGCGAAGAGCCCCAGGTTCACCAGCAGGTTCCTGTGCGACAGGCGGGCGCTGAGGGGGAGGAGGCCCGGCCCGGCCCGGCCCGGC